GGGGGGGGGTGGGAGTAAGCTAGAAGAAACATGGGCACATGAATAAATTTCATTAAGCTCTTCCTATTCAAGGTTTTTGGCAGTATTAAATACTTTGGGCTTTAGTTCATTGAAGAAGACAGCAGTAGTTAACTGCCCCATCTTAGTCCTTTCAGCAAACCATGAAACCATGTTTTAATGCTCGATATTGGTGAGCTGTATGATATTGTGGAACAGGGGCTTAATAATCGGCCAAGTTCTGGCGTTGTTGAAATAAAATACCTTTTTATTTATTTAATAAGTTTTGGCTAGCCTTGGTAAAGTGTAAAGCAGCAATGTGTTGTAAAAGGCCCTGAGGGACATAAAGTTGCAGGCAGACCTAATTTGTAGTTATTAGAGAGTGATATGGTTAATTGGGTAGGGCCAAGAATAGTGGACTCACTCACATGGGCCGAAAAGACAACTATTGGAAGAACAGCCATGTATTCTGTAGCCTTTCACAGGTTAACACGTGTGCTAGGCCACACGGACCACATCGGAATATATAAAGTCAGTGCTTTAAAAACTGACCCGGAGGTTGGAACTGTTTTTGCCTCCGGATCACAAGTCACCGGTTCGATTGTCTAGGTTGAACAGGTCAGACCATGCCACATCAGCATCTATATATTTAAATATATATATATATATATATATATAGATGTATATACACATATATTTTATCAATAAATAATGTATAATTATGTTTTAGATATGATATATATTTTCTATTTAATTTATGTTTTTAATTTTTTTTTTGTTTATAAAAATATTAATAATTTTGATTTGAGGTAAAAAAAAGGAGTTTTTAATGAAAATAGGGGGGTAAGGCTTGGAATGCATAGATCTTGAAAAGTAATCCAAAAAAAAGATCACTCCAATCAAACATTGAAGTGCAAAGTTATGACCTCCAAAAGTTTGTATGCATTGAGTGTGCAACCTGTGACCCGATGACTGGGTTGAACGGATCAACAGTTGAACCGCCTGGGTTGAGCGGTTTTCTACCAAGTCAATAATTTTGACTGAATAACGAGTTTTAATAGAATCAGATCCAGAATCTTGATCAGGTGATGGTTTGAACGGTTCAATTAACCGGATCAATAACGGGTTAAAACACTGTATAAAGGCCTAGGAAGATCCCTCCTCCACCTCATACAGCATATGAAGAGAGCCCAGCAGAATTGGATCTGAATTAATTGTCCCCTCAACTAAAAGATCCTTTACAAGTAAGCCCTAGTGCTAGTCCTTCACAGCCCTATATATATTGTATTATTAGATTTCATAACTACATTACATGTAGTCCTATCTTCTCTTGTCACAAGTCACAATGATAAAAGAAGATTCGATATTATTGACACCATTTCAAACCCCTACCCTACTTGCTTTCTTTCACGCTACCAAAGCACACATCTTTTCCTTTTCATAACTTTATTACTTCTTCTTGCTCATCGAGGACTTTCACATTTTGTACCAAACATAGCAATCCGATCTTCTAATCAAAAGGGAGAGCTTGTTTTTAACTAAGGTTTACTTTCTGAAATTTCATCTTTCTAAAGATACCCATTAGCCCGTTTTAAGCGGGGAATAAAAAGAAGGAAAAAGCAAAAGGGAGATTGAGATTTTTTTCATACAACCTAGCTAGCAGAAACCAAACATTGGAGAGTAAGAAGAGGAAAATTTTAACATTGTAAACAAATATTACTTGTAGAGAGAAGGGACATGTTCAATGAATGCCGATTTTCATCAATTAGTGTAAAGCCAAGGGGTTGTTAACGCCGTTTCATCGGTCATGGTTGGCATCGTCCTCTTGGCCATTTACGAAAGAGACAGGCATACTAGGCTAGGCAGCCATTAATACGTAGGAGAAAGGAGACAAACACAGTGCTGGTCATTGGTCATTGGTCATGGGTCATGGTCATGGTGACCTCTTCCTTTGGAGCCCTTGCTACATTGTCGCCATGTATGTGAGGTTGTACCCATTTAATTATTACTTTGTTTTCTTCTCAAACTGGACCCTACACTCTAGAGTCTGGAGGGGGGTGGGGGTGGGGGTGTGGAGATTTCAGTTAATTTGCAACTAACCTCCCTCTTCATCACTCCTCCTTGGGCTTAGTTTTGACATAAGATGAAGGGTGAGCAATTGTCGGCAAAAACTTGGGCCCGGGCCAATAACCCAAAAAAAATCAGTCGGAGGCCTCCATAATGTGTCGTGAAATCAAAGGATCATGGGCCCTGAAGATGCTCTTGAAAAAAATAGGGAATGTGATTTTACTGCATAGATGTGGATTACAGGGGAAGAATAGAAAGGTGAGATCAGTATGAAAAGGGGAATGGGGTATTTGGGCTGGGCCCGGCCTCTCCATCCATTGGGCGACGGCTGTAAATTGGAATACTAATTGTGGGCCCTGGCCTTTTGGTGTTCGCTTTAGACCCAAGACAGTAGTACTTTGTTAGTGTGTAGCGGAATTTGAGTGTGATCTATGGATGTGGTATATTTTGTCCCATTTGACATCTAAGGTGGGACCCCCTCGGCCTCGATCATATGCATACGTATGGGGGAGTAACCGAGTAAGGGGGTTGGTGTTTATTTAAGCGTGTACACATGAGGTTGCACACATGCTACTGCATTATTCATAATACTATCATCATTTTTAGTTTGGAATTCACTAATGCTATTTAATATTAAACTCGAGAATCCAATATAAATCTGATAGACAGAATTCAATTACTGTGAGCGGTTAAGCATGTTATGTACTTAAGCTAGCTCTATGGTCCATGCCATTTACGTCTGTTTGAGAGTGTATTACCATTTCTGTAAAAAGATGAAATCTATCTCTATTTTGTATTAACCTGGAATTGCAACGAAAGGGATATGTCTTCATTCAAAACATGTATAATTAATTGATAGAGCATCAGTTCTCATAACTCCAAGTTACAGTTAGTCATCTGGCATCTGGCCAAAGGCGCTAGCTGTTTTTCTATTTATGCCTCCTGTTAGTTGTAGTGCATGAATTTGAATTCTTCCCTACTTACCAGCATTGAAGGGTTCTGGGGATTTGTGAAAGGGCTATACCCTATTCGCTTTAGCCAAAAAAAAAAAAAAAAGTTAAGCTATATATCTGACCAATAAATGGAATGACAAAACAAAGATAAGGAATAGCAAAAATGTACATTAATTTGTTAAATCCGTGGTACTTTTTTAATAAAGGGTGACTGAAATTAGCAATGATAGGATTAGACATGAAATGGTACAATGAACATAATAATAATAGCTCTAATAGGAGATAAAATGAGAGAAAGTAAATTAAGGGGTGCATTTGGTTCATAGTCAGAATTAGAATCAATATCCATCAAAACTAGAACTGAAATGGTCTATTTCATTTACCCGTTCGGTTCAGATTGGAATCAGAATTTAACTAAAATGGAATTCCCATTCCCAAGAGAGGGTGAGGAAATGGCCATGGAAATTGGATTCCGATTCAGTCCAATCAAATGGTTGCAGTCTGATTTTAATTTCAGACTCCTATTCTTGCGAATCAAATGGACCTCAAGATGGTTTGATCACATTCATGGAAGACCATCTATAACACCCGTTACTTGTGAGAAAAAAAAAAGATCTACTATTAAGTTCAAACTTCAAATGACTAAAAGAGTTGGGGGTAAAATGAAAAGGTCTCCGGTGAAAGTAACGAGAAATGACTTAAGCACCCATGCAGTGAACAGATTAGGAGGGCAAAACAGGATTCATGTAGGCGATGCTATAGTTGAGAAATGTTAGATGATAATGAGTCATTGTCAACGATATATAAGACAAAAATACTAAGAACCAGGGGTGTTTCTGTGACCCAATATTTGTGCTATTTGCCATACATTGTACTACGGGATAGAATTCAATGGCTATATCAATTTAGACCCAAAATTGTAACATCCACAAAGCACTTTGATCAATAGAGGTATATGCTATGTCTCTGAAGAAGGCATTCCCTTACAGTGACTGTTGAAGAAAAATATGTATAAGACAAAAATACCCTTCCATAATGATTTTAATTAGGGGTATTATTGTTTGTCTTCAGTACAATACAATCAAACAAAATGTACTAACATTGTGGTCGTGGAATCAGCAAACACCCAAAAATCAAGCTGGGAGAGATTAACTGGTTATCGATCAATATTTGAAGTTTGGAACCACCTAGGGCCAGTCAACTCTGTTTTTTTTTTCATCAAAAAGATTCCATTAAGATAAAAGCAGAAGCATTACATGTAGTTGGGAATTGTTCATTCTTCTGATAATACTAATGCTGGCCATCACTCATCAAGTCATCAGGTATTTACACTTTATACAATAGTTGGGCTGGGCCGTATTTGTTTTGTGACCAAATTTACCTTATTGGTAACAATATGTAGAGGTGCCAATTGGACTAAATTTGTTCCAATCCGATCTGATCCAATGAATTCATCACATATGGACCAGGTCTAATGCTATCCAATCAATAGTGTGGATCATTTTGGATCATTGATTTTAACCCATTAATACCTATAGTATTATCTTATACCAATGGATTGGATATTAGTTCAATCCGATCAAATCCAATATATAAATTCATTACGGTTGATTCTAATCCAGTAAATACTTTGAACCAATTAAGTCTGTATTATTCCAATTCAATATGTCTTATTAATCCATCCAAATTAAATTTGATTTGGATGGGATCCAATCCAAAACT